GGTGAAGACTCTATGCTTTCACTGCTGAGTGCCTGGGTTCGATCCCTGGTTGGGGAACTAAGATCCCACAAGCTGCATGGCATGACCAAAACAAAACAAAAAAATTACAAAGATAAATAACTATACAAGAAACTTAATTAACCTTTCAAAATAACTTTGGGTAAGTTTGAAGCACATATATTTCTGAAATTACTATACCTAAAAGCTACACCAAGACTATGGGGGCACCCTATATCAGTAATTATGCAAACAAGTTACTCTCCATGTATGTCAAATGTACCCCAATTCATTTATCACTCAAATAACTAACTGAAGAAATCAGAGCAACTTATTTAAATTGAAATGTTCTATGGGCAATGGGAGCAGGAGAGGAAATACCGGAAAGTGTCTCCCTCAAGAGATTTCAGAAATAGCCTAGGTAAGACAGGAAATAAACCCTAGAGCATAAACCACAATCTTATTAATTTTATCACTGCTCTATGCTTTCTCCTATTAAACATGTGAACAGGAAATAGGTTATTTGTATAAACCAAACATAGCAGGAACTAAATATGGTTTATTCTGGGCTACTTTAAAAAAACATAAGCTCACAAAAGTTCAAGAAATCAGACCTTGTATATACTGCTTCCCTGAAAAGACAGGGAAAACTCTCCTCTTTCCTTCACCACAAAGTTTCTGGAAGAAATGAGTTACATCCTCATTCCTAAGGCCACCTCAGCTCCACTCCACTCGCCTGTAACTGTGACCCTGGGGGACCCAATCACCTCTGCAGCATTTCATACCTGATAAAAGCTAAGTTCACAAAACTCTATTAACTCCATCTGAAAAAAAGGCCCTAGTTGTTAGCCCTCCTCCCCAATTTCCACAACCGTAACTCCAGACCACACCATAACACACATGTAAAAAAACAGATGAGCAAAACACAGTTGAACAGTTGGCTGTTGAACAACACAGGGCAAGTCGAAAGTCCTTGTGGAATTCATAGCCGGCCCTCTGCAGACACAGTTCCTCCACATCCATGGTTCTGCATCCACAGACTCAAACAACTGGAATCGTGGAGTCCTGTAGTTACTACTGAAAAACTCTGCACGTAAGTGGACCTGTGCAGTTCAAACCCATGTTGTTCAAGGGTGAGCTGTACTGTCCCCAGGGACCTCCCTGTGTATAGCATTTCCCACTTCAGTCCATCTTCGGTCAAGAACATCCGTCTGAAACAGATCTCTTCAAGTTCCTTAGTCTACTGCTCACTAGAACCTCTTCCTCCGAGAGCTGGATGTGAGAATAAGCGGGTTAATAATCTATGTATGATGCTTAGACCTGAACCTTGTATACCACAAACACCTCACCCTCGAACCCCACTGTGGACCCCACTTCCAGCTCAGTCCTGTATGCCCCACCCTGCCCCCATCCCCTCGGCACCCACTGTACATCCGCACTGTGATGATCCCTCCGTAAGCTGCCCTAGGACCCGCATTACTGCAGTCAACATTCTATCCATTTGTGAAGACTTGCCTCCAGCTAGCTACTTTCTTGCTGGGACCCACCCAATCTTACCACACTCCCTTTTCCATGCCCCTATGAGACGGCATCTAACCTGTCCTAGAGCAGTTTTTACAACGCAGACTCTGGTGGCCTGGTGCTTCTCCATGCCTGAGGATGTGGTCACTGGACATGCCTGGCCAGTGCAACGCGAGTGGGCGCCCCAAGAGCCAGTGCTTAATTCTCCCCTCTCCCCCAGGTAGGGGGAGGCTCTTTACCTTAACCATCATGTTACCTGCCAAGGTACTTAATGCAGTACTCAGCATTACGCTTAATGAATGTTTAACAGGATGATTTAATTTTTGAACAGCTACATGAAACCTCTAACTGAAACATTTTTGGTAATTTAGATCTTTCAGAGATGTTAATATCTAAGTATTCTTTGTTCTGCTTTAGAGTTCCTCAGTTTTTGAAAAGCAGTTAATGATCTAAATAGTAATAGGTAGAACTCAGTATTTAAAGGAACTCTTTTTTCCATTTTTAATTCAACTCATCACTTTTCAGTTTTATATCCAACTTTCCTAAACTTAAGGCATGCCCGAATTGTTATTGCATTGTCCTTGGCCAACTTTTCCTATTTGGTTTATCTGGTTTCCCTCCTTGCCTTGGCCTTTATTCTTTTCCTTTAATTTGCTGTTGTAAACAGTGGTCATGACTTGAAAAAGAATCACAGATTAATACCTTGAACCTCTGGAAGGAAAGCTATGAGGCTACCCCAATAAATGAACCACATTCTTTATGCCACTCTTTATCATACTCCTGAGCTATACACTAAAAAGACTAAGCTTTAGATGATAATAGGGCCTTTTATCTTCCACTTCTGACAACTAAATGGCTAGCTTGATTTTTTTTTTTTTTTTTTTTTTTTTAAGAGACTGAAAGAAGGATTAACTAGTGGATTAAATCAAAATAACAAGGATTTTTTTTTTTTTTTTTTTTTTTTTTTTTTACCTCTGTAGCTCCATGCTCTCCAGCAGCAAAAGTTAAAAGACTGTCATAGAGATTTGTGAATGCGCTCAGTCCGGTCTGCACGATCTCTGCTTCTATGGTGGGATCCAGAGGCTCAGTTTCCGTGAATTCCAGTTCCCATACTGTGCCCACCCATTCTAGTGGGAAAATGCAATGAAGTCAACAAATGTTCTATAATAAGAAAGACCAATAAGCTTTAGACTCTGAGTACATTCATGAAGAGAAAAGTTTACTAGTCACAACTCACACTTAACTATACCATACAGGTGAGGCAGAATTAGAAGGAAGCAGAAGAGGTTAGAAAATCTTTTTTTAATCATTAACTGACAGCTGGCTATTAGGTTGGTCATCATCTAAAAATATCAAGAAGGAAAACACTTTTCAGATGTAACAGTTTGGGGGATGATCCAGCCTTCCCGTATGTTCAGTCTGGAGAAGAGAAGGTTAATAAAAGGTTGCCTCAGCTGTCCCTTTGTGAAAGTCTTATAATCAAGTTAATAAACCCAAATAAAGTGTACAGCACAAAGGGACAGCTGAGGCAAAAGACTATTTAACATGCTTTAATTATTCATTCACTCTTCCCTAACTGATCTCCTAACAAATACAATCAGCTTCCTAAAAATGTTCTTGCATCTTTTCTTGCCTTTTTCTCATACGTTCTCCCACTTATTTTATATGCATATTTTTAAATGCACACCCATATTTCTGACCTCATTTCTGAATCGAAACTACAAAGTCCCAGTGATAAAAGATCTGGAATCAGAAAATCAATACATTCAACAAATGACAGCTATTATCACGTCTACAATGGATAGGTGTTAAAGCCGTAGTACAGTACAACAGTAGAGAGCAGATGGAAACTATTCCTGGGGGAGGCAGGGGGCGGAGGTGGGAAGGAAGACGATCCTTCAGCTGCTCCAACACGTGGGGGTTACCCGGGAAAGAGACACCGAGAAGGGCATCCCAGGCAGAGAGGACCCCATAACAAAGCACAAAAGGAAACAAAGTATCACCTGTTTAGAAACCAACACCATCGTAACAGCACTGAGCTCAGCTGTGAAGGGTGAGCTGTTATCAGCACTTACTCAGCAGGTAGTATAAGGCGGCCGGTCCCTAGGGGCCTTCCCAGAACAGCCCCTCCCCCCATGCGCTCCGCCTGCCTTTGTCTGCAGAACAACTTGAGTCAAAGTATAAATTTAATGAAAAAATGCAGAGAGAGAGAAAAACAGTCAAGCAAAGCAAAATAATAATAAATTAACCCATAAACAAAGTCTACAGATACTAGTCTGAGCCATGTCCTTTGAGCCGTTTTGCAGACACTGAAACAACCCACCCCCACAGGTGGGAGAAGTTAACTGCTGCCCACAAGCGCGGTAGACGGGTTGGAACCAGGCTGATGATGCTGACCTCTGACTACCTCACCACCAACCAACCAATCAGAAGAATATTCACCAGCTGATCACACACCCTTCAACTCTCCTCACTCACCCTGTCTTTAAACTCTTCCCCTGAAAGCCTTTGGGGAGTTGGGGTCTTTTAAGCACAAGCTGCCTGGATGCCTTGTCGGTTCCTGCAATGAAGGCTGCACTCTGCTTCACCACAACCGGGAGTCAGTAGATTGGCCTTGCCGCGCACGGGCCAAGTGGACCCAAGTTTGTTTTGTTAACAGCAGGTGCAGGTATTAAATCAATCTTCACGAACGCCCGCAAAGTAGATCTTAGAACCCCCATGTGACACAGCGACCGAGGCCCGCGAGGCTCGGGTGCTCAGCGGCGGACCAAGGCACAGGCCCCAGGTCCGACTCCAGAGCTCAGCTCTGGAAAAAGAGCAGCCGCAGGGACAGGTGAAGACTCTCGCCGCAAACAGAGGCTGCAGTAACTCAGGAAGCCGGGGGAACCACTGAAGGGTCAGAGACCCGGCGGGTCACGCTGGCCTTTTCAAGGTGGTCCCGGAAGGGGTGTGGGGCCGGGTCGGGATGGAAGTGCTGTCACCAGAAGGGACTGGAAGTGCCCCAAGCGCCAAGACGGGCCACAGCGAGGGCGCGGGTTGGACCGCAGCCTCGGGAAGCGGCGGGAGGCGCGGGTTGGCCCGCAGCCGCGGGAAGCGGCGGGAGAGGCTGGGACAAGGGGCCGCCGCCACCAGAGGCTGGAGGTGGGGGAGGGGGGCACCTCCTGCCCTTCAGGGAGGATGGGCGCCCGGTGACGCCAGCCGCACCCCTGGGTCTCAAGTTCAGGAAGTCGGCCCGGCCCAACAAACAGACGCGCTGCCGAAGCCTCGGCACCTGCGGGGCTGTCCGCGCAGACCCGGAGGCAAGGCCGAGAAGCAGGAGCACAGAGCGGAAGGAGCCCTCGAAGGAGCGCCAACGCCGCTGCCCGGCGCGACCCCTCCCCAGCAGCCTCCGCAGCCCCCAGACCCCGGCCGCGTCCTCACCTGGACTGAGGTCCAGCGGGCACCAGGGCTGCAGGGCGCTTGCCAGGTCCCGCCAAGCCGCCATGACCTCCGCTCGCCTCAACTTTCAAAGCTGCTCCGGCGCGCGCGCCGAGAAGACCCAGCGGGCTCATGGGGACACGGGGTTCGCACCAACCAATTACCGCGCCCCGCCGGCCCGTCCGCTGGCCAATCAGCAGGGCCTTCCGCCGCATGCGCAAAGGGTGAGGCGGGCCTAAACCCACCCACGCAGCCGAGGTTGGAGGTTGTTTTCAGCTTTTCCTCGGAACTGGGGGTCAAGAAAAGAGCTAAATCTAGTGTTGTCCTTCCTACCCCGTCTCCCTAAATGGGGACACTCTGAAGAGAATCTGAGGCAGGATACTTTTTTGTTGTAATTGTCACCTCTGCCCCCTGTCGAGCGGCATTTCGCGTGCGTGTCAAAGGGCCGCGTTTACCGATCAAACAGCATCAAAGGTGTACACATCCGAGTGTGGGTGGCGGCCTACCGTTTACCGAACTAAATAAAGGAAAAGCAAAACAAGGCATTCAGAAAGGACATCTTAAATTCTGAATTTTACGGGACATCTGGCTGTAGATCCGGAAGGAAGCCGTGGTCGCCATGTCAACTGAGGGAAAGCCGAGCGGCCTTCTCCCGGCGCGCATGCGCAGCGCGCACTCCGCCGGAGGCGAGGCGGCCGAGCAGGCGAGGCGGGGGCGTGCGCATGCGCGCGGGGAGTCCGGCGCCTCCGGCTGAGCGGCGGAAGCGGCGGGCGCTGCTCCCGGGCCGGGCGGCTGGCTGGCTGGTCGGCGCCGCAAGC